TTTTTAACTTTTTTTGCCTGAAAATAAAAATTGCTAAAATATTTACCATGGTCCCTAATACCCTCCGGGATTCCAATAGGGTGGGTGGAACCATCCAATTTGTCTTTAAACGACCAATTTACCAGTTTTCAACTTACAACGATTTCATTAATTCAAGCTTACCACGAACCATTTATGACAACAAATAATGATCATATATGGTTCCAAACGACATTATATGACCCTGAGATGTATTCTCTAGAATTTCAACACTTTTCAACACCGGGCCCCGAAGACTCCAAAAATTCTGAAAAAGCGTGGATATATTAGTTTTCAATTTTTGAATTTTTCACCTGGAAATAAAAATTGCCGAAATGTTTACCATGGTCCCTAATACCCTCCGGGACTCCAATTGGGTAAGTGCAACCATCCAATTTTCCTTTAAAGGACCAATTTACCAATTTTCAACTTACACCGATTTCATTAATTCAAGCCTACCACGAACCATTTATGACAACAAATAACGATCATATATGGTTCCAAACGACATTATATGTCTCCGAGATGTATTCCCTTGAATTTCAAGACTTTTCGACACCGAGCCCCGAAGACTCCAAAAATTCTCAAAAAGCGTGGATATTAGTCTTCAATTTTGGAATTTTTTGACTTTTTTTGGCCCGGAAATAAAAATTTCAGAAATGTTTACCATGGTTCCTAATACGCTTCGGGACTCCAATTGGGTGGGTGGAAACTTCCTATTAGCCTTTAAAAGACTTTCGTTTAAAAGCCTTGTAATTCACCTGTTTACATTTTATACCGATTTCATTAATTCAAGACAATACGAACCATTTATGACAACAAATAATGATCATATATGGTTCTAAACGACATTTTTTTTAACCGGAGATGTATTCCCTAAAATTTCATTACTTTTCGACACCATGCATTGAAGTATCAAAAATTTCTCAAAAAGCGTGGATATTAGTTTTCAATTTAGGAATTTTTTGACTTTTTTTGCGCGGAAATAAAAATTGTCGAAATGTTTTTCATGGTCCCTAATACCCTCCGAGACTCCAATTGGATAGGTGGAACAATCAAACTTGCCTTTAAACGACCAATTTACCACTTTTCAACATATACCGATTTCATTAATTCAAGCCTACCACGAACCATTTATGACATAAAATAATGACTATACATTGTTCCAAACGACATTATATGACCCCAAGATGTATTCCCTAGATTTTCAAGACTTTTCGACACCGGGCCCCGAAGACTCCAAAAATACTCAAAAAACGTGGATATTAGTCTTCAATTTTTGAATTTTTTTATCTTTTTTTCGCCGGGAAATATAAATTGCCGAATTATTTACCATGGCCCATAATACCCCTCGGGACTCCAATAGCGTGGGCAGAACCATCCAATTTGCCTTTAAACGAACACTTTAACAGTTTTCAACTTACATCGATTTCATTAATTCAAATCTACCACGAACCATTTATGACAACAAATAATGATCATATATGGTTCCAAATGACATTATATGACCCCGAGATGTATTATCTAGAATTTCAAGACTTTTTCGACACCGGGGCCCGTAGACTCCAAAAATCTCAAATAGCGTGGATTTAGTCTTCAATTTTTGATTTTTTATTACTTTTTTCGCCAGAAAATAAAAATTGCCGAAATGTTTACCATGGTTCCTAATAATCTCCGGGACTCCAATTGGGTGGGTGGAACCATCCAGTTTGCCTTTAAACGACCAATTTACAAGTTTTCAACTTATATTGATTTCATTAATTCAAGCCTATTACAAACCATTTATGACAACAAATAATGATCATATATGGTTCCAAACGACATTATATGACACCAAGATGTATGTCCTAGAATTTCAAGACTTTTCGACACCGGGCCCCGAAGATTCTAAAAATTCTCAAAAAGCGTGGATATTAGTTTTTCAATTTTTGAATTTTTTGACTTTTTTCGCCAAAAAATAAAAATTGCCGAAATGTTTACCATGGTCCCTAATACCCCCCAAGATTCCAATTGGGTGGGTGGAACCATCCAAATTGTCTTTAAACGAACAATTTACCAGTCTTCAACTTATATCGATTTCATTAATTCAAGCCTACCACGAACCATTTATGACAACAAATAATGATCATATATGGTTCCAAACGACATTATATGAGCCCGAGATGTATTCTCTAGAATTTCAAGACTTTTCGACACCGGGCCCCGAAAACTCCAAAAATTCTCAAAAAGCGTGGATATTAGTCTTCAATTTTTTTTTATTTGACATTTTTTTCGCCCAAAAATAAAAATTGCCGAAATATTTACCATGGTCCCTAATATCCTCCGGGATTCCAATAGGGTGGGTGGAACCATCCAATTTGCCTTTAAACGACCTATTTACCAGTTTACAAATTACACCGATTTCATTAATTGAAGCCTACCACGAACCATTTATGACAACAAATAATAATCATATATGGTTCCAAACGACATTATATGACCCCGAGATGTATTTTCTACAATTTAAAGATTTTTCGACACCGGGCCTTAAAGACTCCAAAATTTAAAGATTATTGACTTGAACCGAACCCGACTTGAAAATAACTCGACCTAATTATAATCTGCAAATTATTGACTTGAACCGAACCCGACTCAAACCCGAGAATGACCCGACCTGATTCTAACTCGCAAATTATTGGCTTGAACCGAACCCGACTCGAACTCGAGAATTACCCTAATTCGTTTTAACCTGTGAATACCTGAATTAAACCTGACCTATTGTTCACCCGACCCAAATGTAACCCAACCTAAACCCGACCCAAACCCGATAATAAGTATGACCTGACGTGAACCGACTCAAGCATGACCCAACCCAAACCTGAACCGCATAAGTTATGGAATTAATCTTAATTGACCCGACCCACTCTTACCCGACCCAAACCCAACCCGTTTACCCGAATTTACAGCTCTAATTATAGCCTTTAATTTTGCCAATTTTTGACTTTTTTTTACCCGAAAACAAAAATTTCCGAGAAGCTACCTATAGACCCTAATACCCTCTAGGAGTCTAATTGGGTGGGTGGAACATTCAATTTTCCTTTAAGCATCCAATTTACTCATTTCTAGACACACCTCTTGTATTGGCTATAAGCTTTCACGGGACCTTTATGTACCCGAATTATGGTTGTATATGGGTCCAAACAACATCATACGACCCCAAGATGCATCTCACACAATTCCGTGAATTTCTGACATCGAGTCCCGACACATTCTAAACTGCTCCGATTTCTGGTATTATAGCCTTCAAATTTGGCTTTCGTACTCCATTTTTTCACTCGGCAAGATTATGAATCCAAGTACTTTGATGGGTTCCCAAATTAAAGGACCTTGATTGGAAGTCATGGGTAATGCCCAGAACCATCTCATTCATCCTTAATCATCATGTCTTAAGGCAATGACGACATGCCCTTAAACGACAAAACTAGTTGTTTTGTATGCATTGTCCTTGGGTGCACATGTCTTGTGCACATGCCACACTCCCCTTGCACCATCCCACACCCCAACACTTTGGCATTGTTACTTGTCTCAATTCACTACTTAGCATTTTTTAGCATATAAGAAGCATCGTCGCTAACCTCATTTTCCAAAATATCGGTGTTTTTAGGGAAAAGGGTGGGGGGGGGGGGGAGAGACGAATCAAAGCGACATAGGGCTGAATCTCAATGAATCGTTGCAGTAAGGCCACTCTGCCACTTAAAATACTACGTCGCGAATTTAATTCGTTTGCAAAGAATTGAACCCGCTGCTCGGTAGGAATTGTATTTCAAGGCGGCTCTCACGACGCATACATTGCGCGAGCTTAGCCTACGACACGTGCCCTTGGGGGGCGAAGCCCCTACTGTAGGACGACAATCAGGCGGCATGCGCATGCATCGCTTTTGGACCGGATTCTGACTTAGAGGCGTTAAGTCATAAGCACATGGTAGCTTCGCGCCACTAGCTTTCCAACCAAGCGCAATGACCAATTGTGTGAATCAACGCCATTGAATAGTCTTTCATCATGAAATAAATAAAAAATGGTCTAAATTCAATTTTCACAAAATTTAAATTTTATCTTCGTAGAAAATTTCTGGCTCGAGACAGGCATAACTTACAACCTACATGGTAGAATATCATATTGTGTCACAACTAGATTATAATGTTATTTGAAAAACGTGGCACATGAGGTTTTTTCACAATAGACACAACATAATAAAATAAAATTTATTTCTACAAAAATAGGCTCGACTACTTCATTAACATGTGAGTTTGCTCCTGCTTGACAGTGTATTTTTAAATTCCAATCATAAAATTTGGTAAAAGTAACAACCCCCAACAGTACACATACACACCACACATTTGCTCATAATTTCCTAAATTAAGATGTTTGGATCTATCAATTATCCAATTTTTTCAAACCAGATTCAAATTGAAATCAGATTAGATCAAATCAGATTGGATTAGCTCGGATATTTGATTGGGCCACCCTGTTAACTGTTTTAACATGGTGTGAAGGCCTTTTTTCCAATATATCATAAAGGATCATTGGAATTAAAAAGTTATTGTTGAGAATATCTAAGATGATTTCAAAACTCATAAGCAATAAATACATCAACAGAAATGATGTTGTCATTTTCTATAAATCAAGGCATGCTTTCCACTTACTACATTTCCACCGATATCCCCCCAATTTAAGCACAAATACACAAAAATAAAACCCACCAAAACATCCGTTACCCCAAAATTCAGTCAAAAGTTTGAGCGTTTCAACCGATTGATCATAATTCATGTTTCAATAACCAAAAATGTAGTGATTTCTTGTACTACTAATACACCTATATTATTACTTCAGTGGATTACTTAGTCACATCCCAAATTATCCTCATCTACCCTTTAATTCTCCTAATTAAATATTTAGCTTTGTTTCATACATTTTGATTGTAACAAAAAAAAAAACATTAAAAATGATGTACACAAAATCAGAATCTGATATTACTAGCCTAGCAACATCATCACCAATATCATCACCTAAGCCACCTAGGCCGGTTTACTACGTTCAAAGTCCCTCACGTGATTCACAAGAGGAGGACAAGTCATCGACAACGGCCTCAGCCACCGCGACACAGGCGGCTAACACCCCCGTGGGGTACCGGAGCCCATCGGATGCATTGTCATTGCTTTCTATATTTAGTCGTCAGTCAAGGTCACCTGCCACGAGTCGTGTGAGTGGGATACAAGGGCACCGGCGGAAGAGGAGGGAGAGGGAGAGGGATAGGGTACGGTTGCTTTCGGGACGTCGACACGAGGCGGAGGTGAAGGGGGAGTTGTATGTGAATTGGTGGAGGGATGAAGAGGGGGAAGAGTTGTCTAGGAGTTGTAAGGTTTTTATGTGGATGTTGTTTTTAGGGTTGCTTTTTATGGTGGGGTGTTTTATTGTTTGGGGTGCAAGCAGGCCTTTTAGTGCACAAGTTTTTCTCAAGGTAAATTGTTTTATTCATGCATGTATTCATTAATTTAGTTTTTTTTTAATAAACATGCATGCACTTAAACCATAAGAATCATGCACCTCGGTAATTAAATATGCTGCACTTAAATTATTTTGAATAGTCATGGTTCTAGAGATATATCTTGAAATGTTAGATCTATCTTACGAAGAAGAAGTCAAAAATTCAAAACTATTTGTTTTAATTTGAAAGAATTGAGTTTAATCAAAATTCATTTTTATGAATTTTGATAATGGATCTCTCATTTATTTCTTATTTTTGCATACTCCGTGTGAATTTATAAGTAACGTGTCGATATAGACAAGTTAATTATATTGCATGAAGCAAAAAATCATGAACCTTCCCAACATATGTTACATGATTCAAGGTTATCACGTCATTGAAATTGTATAGTATTTGTGAATGTTGTTTTTGGTAAAAAGGCAAGTTTAGTATGGAGTATAATTTTTCTCTTTCTTTTTCGAGGATTTGTATGAAACAAAAGATCAAAGTACTTATTTTTTTAGCTAAATAGAAAAAAGAAGGATGACTAGACTCTAGAGTGACATGGAAAATAAAGTATGTATTTTGGCTTATATGTTATTAAATTAACTCCTATAAATCATCCACCTTTTTATTACATAATATATATATATATATATATATATATATATATATATATAGAGAGAGAGAGAGAGAGAGAGAGAGAGAGAGAGAGAGAGAGAGAGTGGGTGAGAAAACTCACCTGAAATTAATACGATAATGCCAAAAGATTAAATTTCCTCCACTAAACCACTAGCTACTTCTTCCTAATCCTACTGGATACGGAAAAATTCTTGCTTGGTACGTAAATTTGAGTGATTTGAGTGACAAACTTGCGTGCTTTAATTTAGTAACAAACAAGTTTATGGGATTAATTAACTTTCTAATAAGGCTAATAACTTTCATACCGTCATTATTAAAAGATAGTACGAGTAATTGAAATAAGGCTAATTAATAATCTAAGCTAAAATACACTTAGTATGGGGTAGTCTTTTAGGGGCGACCTTAAAAGAAAAATGAGGCAAACTTTAAGAGACGGAGAGAATAGTATGAACGAATTATTCCTTTGACATAATATACTGCTTTGATAGTTGTTACCTTAATTTTTCTAATACCTGTGAAAAACTATGTAGGATGTGACTGTACATAATTTCTATTTTGGGGAAGGATCAGATTTTACAGGAGTACCAAGCAAGATATTGACAATAAATTGTTCGTTGAGAATGAGAGTGCATAATCCTGCTACGTTTTTTGGCATTCATGTTAGCTGCTCAACTATCAACCTTCGTTATTATGATCTCACTATTGCTTCCGGTCAGGTAAGATTGCTCTGCTTAGTTAATTGATTCTTGGTTTTGCGAGTAATTAGATTGGATACGAGTCAGTTTTGTCATTGTGCGTATGTATATACAACTTAAGTGACTTAATTTGTGGTGTATGTTTAGTTGGATCCATACTATCAACCTAAACAAAGCTGGCGGACAGTGCATGTAAATGTCGAAGGAAGGAAGGTTCCGTTGTATGGGGCTGGTGCTGGTTTTGTGGTCTCCGATAAGGCTGAAGGTGTTCCATTGATATTGGACTTTGACATCAGGTCGAAAGGAGAGGTGGTGGGCAAGTTGGTGAAGACGAAGCATCAACGACATGTTAGGTGTTCTTTGAACATCAGCTCTCAAAACACCCGGATTGTTAGACTTGCAGAACATGCTTGTATAGAGCGATGAACTTGAGAGAAGAGCATACTAAGTTTATAATCAAATGAATTTCAATGTAAATGATGATGCCTTGAACTATATGAATATTTTGATTTCGTTGTTTCAAAAGATGTAAATCCCTTGCCTTTTTATGGTGACACCTTAATTGCATTCACCAGTAACACTTAACAAAGAATGTGAGAGTCGACACAGGCTTAGCTTGTGGCACGGGCTGAGGTTTGGATTGAGCAGCTTATCACAAAGCCTGAAAATTGGTCATGGCACAAGGATCAAACCCGGCACAGCCATTGCCATAATAACTTACAACTAACAAGAGTTCCACCTTCAATCAAGTATAAACTTAGATTGACGTCAGTAGAAATAATTTATCTAAATTCAATCACTAGTTGATTCAAAATTTACATTATGTAACAATAGTGTAAAAACGAACATGATAACAGCTTCTATGAGACAGTTGATACAGATTTACTGAATTGAATTCAATAGATCAACTGCAGAGTCAAATTATTTAGATGATCTTCTCAACCAACGGTTTCTATTGTTGCTCACATTTAGACAAGCGAGCAATGGGGCCTCCAAAGTGTGACCAGCAAACACCACTACTTCTGCCATATAAAGCTGTCATAACCAATGCCTTTGAAGGCTGAAGAAGGTGGATGGTCCATAGCAAAATGGATTGCCGAACTATTCAGAACAATTTTGGCTTATAATGAGAAATTGCTCTCTATGATGCTGGTGAAGGGCTCTCCAGCTTTTCAATAGCACAGCCCTCTGGGAGAACTGTACTCCCTATCCTATTAGGAGGCCAATATCGGAAGACTGATCTTCCAATAATGTTCTTGGCAGGAAGTGGACCCCTGACCAAATCCAGCAACATGTAATCAGCAATATTACAGACGAATTGCAGCGATGAAATTCATAGTTGACAATACAGTATCATACACCAGAGTTGTAGGAGAAAATTACCAGACATGAGAATCATAGCTGTTATTGCGGTTGTCACCCATCACAAAAACAGAGTTCTCTGGCACACGCTGCACATATCGAATATAACCAAACACAGACAGAGAATCAGTATGCACTCTTTAGAAGGCAAAAATTGTCAAGCATATTGAAAGAAGACCTACTATTGGGGTCATGTTGTACTTGGGAGATTCGTATATGTATCCTTCATCCTTTACAACACCATTTACAATTAACTTTCCATCCTTCACCTGCAGTCAACAATTTTAAAACGAGAAACAGATAACAGAACTTAATATTGTTTGCAGACATGCTTTCTTGCACATAATCAACATGGAGGGCAACATTGAATTCAGGATAAACACACACATACACACACACACACACAGAGTCTCCTTTCACAGCTATGATATTGATTTAAAAAATGTAATAAATTTGATTCCCATCTAACTCGACCCCCTGTCCACTCCTGAAGGAATGTCTAGTAAATTTGATTCTCATCTACCTCGATCCCCTCCCCACTCCTGAAGGCAGGAAAGAACATGTTGGAAGAATGGCTAAAATACATGCTCATATAAATACTAGTTCTCTCTGGCCATAGATTGATTACCAGGTATAAGCAATTTGTTCTTTTTCAAGTCATATACAGTATATATTTTTTAGGACAACTTTTCACCTTTATACGCGCACTAATACCGAGCTAAAGACTGACCCATACCTCAACAGTATCACCAGCCTTAGCAACCACTCTTTTGATGAAAACATCATCATCAGTATAGCCAACATCTTGAAGAACTGGTGGGCTTTTGAAAATTACAATGTCATTGGGACAAGGCTTCCGAAAATAGTATGACACCTGAAAATCTCTAAAACAAACATAAATTATGCTATGGATAATGAGGAAGCCTGGAACGTAAAATTCAAAAGCTAGCAGCACAAGTAAAATATAAGACGTTTACAGACTCATAGCCTGACCAAATAAAACTATAAAAGAGTTCATGACAAACATACTATAGATAAGTGGAGACAAAAAACCGTTTATCCAACATGATTAGGTTGACAGAGTAACTAAAATGCCGCATTGAACTGATACATGTATTCTTTTATCTGAAAGATATGACTCCAACAGGAACCATTTTCTTAAGCTTGATTCATCGTCCCTCACACGAAACTCCTTTCTTATTATATTTATAAGCTAACATGGAGAATTAACACTGTACAATACTACAATTACAAACTACACACATATCATAGTCAGTAGTCATCTATGAGACCTACACTCTAGTTTTGTATTAAATTCTTCGGTGACCATGGTGAGGTACTGGGTTTAAGCTCACTTAACGCTTAAGGCAATAAAGAGGAAAATTAATCAGACGCAAATAAGCAACCCTGAAGAATAAGTGAAAAGTAGGCCTGTACAAAACTATCCGAGAATCCAAAAATCCGATCCGCAACTGATCCGAATTTTAGAATATCCGATTCGAGTTTTCATTTCGGATCAGATATCCGATCCGAAAAATCGGATGTCAGATACAATTTCGGATATTGATTTTTAAATTTTCGGATATCCGATATCCGAAAAATATCGGATATTGGATATCCGAACCGATATCCGATAATTTAAAAGGTAAATATTGAAGCTAGATAATAGATATAGTATATTTTTTTTAAAAAAATAAATATTCTTAAAACAAATTAATAATCAGACAAGTAGACAACCTATTCACCTTACTCACTTTCTCTCACTAAATTCCTAAAACCCCTAAATTCCTCCCTTTCTCTCTCTATGCTCAGCTGCTCAAGGCCTCAAGCTGCCACCCCACCCCACCGCTACGGCGCCACCTCAAACTCAGCCGCTCAAGATCTCCTTCAGTCCTTCACTCGCCCAGATCTCCTACTAATCGTATTTGCTCGGCTAATCTCCGCCTCTCCCGTATGTATTTCGAATTCATTGTTTTGATGTTTTTGGTGGTTTTCTTGTCAATTTTATTGTAATATTTGTTGTAAATTTCGTTTTGTTATCTAAATTTTGTTCTATTTGTTGGGAATTTCGGTTGTTTGTTAGATTTTCGATCTACTAGTATTTGTTTGGAATTTCGATTTTTTATCTGATTTTTTCTATCTATTTGTGTTAATTTTTGATCAAATTATTGTTTCTAGTTTTCTGCTAGTTTATTTGTCATCTAGTTTTCTATCTATTTGTGTTAATTTCGTTGAATTTTTATTGTTTATTTTCTGAATTTCGTGCTTATTTTTAGTTTCTTAATTTCCTAATTTCGTGCTTCTTTATTAATTTTTGATCAAATTCTTATTTTTATTCTTCTCAACATAATTATGTTAGTTTAAGTTCTCTGTTGGAGAATTCAGATTCTTATTTTGTAATTGTATGTGAATAATTGTAGGTTAATGGATGAAACCTTTGATATGACGAGTGAGAGTGTCGCTCCTTTGAATGAGGAAGGTGCACAAATTCCAGAAAATCAAACTCCACAATCTGAACCAGAAGTTCCAGAAGTTCCTAATCCAAATAAAAGACCAAACGAAGAAGTTGCTCCAAGTAAAGGTACAAAAATTGATCTTGGCTTTGGGAACATTTTGAGAAGATCAATAAAAATAGGGTTGAAAGATCAATATGCTTGTATTGTAAAATTGATGTTTCTGGTAGCTCTAGACTTGGCACTTCTGCTATGAAAAATCACCTTAACATTTGTAAAGCATACCCCCCTAACATTGATAAGTCACAAAGACGTCTTTCTTTACAAAGTGAACAAACTACCACATCTGATAGTGTTGGTGAAAATGTGGTGGGGGAAAAGAAAGGGATGTTAGAGTTGTGGAAGTTTAAGCAAGATGATGGTTGTAAAGCTTTTGCAAGAATGATAATAATGGATGAATTGCCATTTAGGTTTTCCGAGCGTGAGGTTTTTCGTTACTTTATGTTGGTTGTCCAACCAAACTTTCTCATTCCCTCTCGTATTACTGTGGCTAGGGATTGTTATCGTGTCTATGTAGATGAAAAGAAAATCTAAAAAAAAAATTTAGTAAGTGTTCTTCACGTATTTGTCTTGTCGAAATTTGAGTTATATGTGTTTAACAGCGCACTTCATTGATCATAATTGGAAATTACCTAAAAAAATTTTAACATTGGAAATTACATAAAAAAAATTTGAACTTTTGTCCAATTAGTGGTCACTCTGGAGAAGTTATTGGTAAAGAAGTTGAGAAACGATTGCTTGAGTGGGGCATTACCAGAGTCTTAACCGTAACAACAGACAATGCAAGCTTAAATATTTAAAAAGCAGGTTTCAAAGGTGGAAACATGGTACTGTTTTGATGGTAGGTTTGTGCATATGCGTTGTAAAGCTCATATTCTCAATCTTATTGTGAAGGAGGGTTTGAAAGAACTGGATAACTCAATAAAAAGAATTTGTAATGGTGTGAGGTTTGTAAGATCTTCTCCGGCAAGAATGCAAAAATTTTAAAACTGTGTAAATCAAGAGCAAATCGAGTCAAAACGTCAACTTTGTCTAGATGTTGATACTAGTGGAACACCACTTACTTGATGTTAGAGTATGCCTTGATTTATCGTAAAGCATTTGATTTGTTTGAAACTTGTGATGGTGGTAAATTTAGAACCGAGTTGTCAAAGACTTGTGGTGTTCCCGAAGTTGAAGATTGGGACCGTGTTGCTTTTTTGATACCTTTTCTTAAAATTTATTATGATGCCACTCTTAGACTTTCTAGTTCTTTGTTTGTTACCTCCAATAAGTACTTGCAAGAGCTTGTGACAATCAACAGAATGATTAAGAGAAGGTGTGATTCTCATGATCATAATGAGAAAATGATGGCTTATGGGATGAAGGCAAAGCATGATAAGTATTGGGAAAATATAGATAATATCAATTTGATGTTGTATATTGTTGTTGTGCTTGATGTTAGGCGTAAGTTGGATTATGTTAAGTGGGCAATTGATGATTAATATGATTCGGATAAAGCTAGGGAGTTGTATGGTAGGATTAAGGAGACTTTGACTTATTTATATGAGCATTATGCCACACTGAAAATCAGTCCACCACTTCTAAGTTAGATGATTTGTCTTCACAAGATTTGGAAAACTATGATGAGCATGATATGGCAGTTTATAAACTAGTGTTGTTCAAATGAAGAGTGATTTAAACAAGTACTTAGAAGATGAGAGAGAACCACATATCATTGGAAAGAGTTTTAATGCATTAGCGTGGTGGAAAAAACGTGAGGAAAGCTATCTCATAGTCTCTCCTATGGCTAGAGATGTATTAGCCATTCTCGTGTCCACCGCAGCTTCGGAATCTGCATTTAGCACCGGTGGTCGCGTGCTTGATTCATTTCGTAGTTCTCTCACACCAACAATGGTAGAAGCTTTAATTTGTGCACAAGATTGGTTGCGAATGACAAATGAACCACTTGTGGTGGAAGAGCGTATTGAAGATCTTGAGAAGATTGAAGAAGGTAATATATTTTTTCTTTATATGATTTCAAGTTGTGTTACTCGAACACGGCATTTTTGCCATCATACCCGGTCAATACGACCTGACACGGATCCGGGTATGAAATCCATTCCAGACTCACCATCTAGATCTCGGGTACGGCTATTCACAGTAGCCATCGAAGAAAAGAAGCTTCAAGAGAGAGAGCAGAGAAGGAAGAACGAAGAAAGCAACCATTAAAGAAAGATGAAGGGTTTTAAGTATTTCTTTACCTTTATTTTATTTTTTTTGAAGGAATAACTTTATTTAAAAAGGCTTTCTGATTTCCCAAGAAAGAGATGTACAATACATTAATTTAAAATAAAGGTTTTGGGTTTCCCAAGAATTGGTACAGAGAAAGGCTGTGGTACTCATTTTTTTTTAATAACAAATCTAATTTGGCCTCCCAAACAAGCTTTCATAAGATTTTTTTTTATTTTTTTAAAAGAAAGCTTTCATAAGATTTTATAATGTTTAATTTTAAATATTATATTATTTATCTTAGTTATTTAAAAGATACTGTATGAAAATTTATATTGAATAAATATTGACACAAAAGATTTTTGATATGTGCCAAATTAAAAATAAATAAAAACGTTTTTCTTATTGATGTTTTTTTCTTAAAGAATTTATTGTCGTATCCGTACCCGAGTCCAAAGTTAAGACGGTGTCCCCGTGTCCTAAATTTTTGAAAATGACGTATCGGACACTCGGGATCTATACCAGTGTCGGATACCCGTACCCGTGTCAATGTAACATAGATTTCAAGTATAATTTTTTTTTTTTTAGCCTTGAGTTAAATGATAACTATTAACTTTTTTTTTTGGTATAGAACTGTCCACTTTAGTTGAGCCAGGTTTCGGTTGTTGATGACTACATTTGAGGCATTCATTTGAGGAGTAATATTGCTACTTTTTTTTTTCCTACTGTTTTTATTATTTAGTAAAATGTAATATTGAGACTTTAGTAAACTTTGTAATATTGAGACTTCATTAAGCTTTGTATTTTTAATTTGAGGAGTTGGATTTGTAATGCACTAAGACTAATGCTAGTATGCTACTGCTTCGTATTTGAGGAGTTGTATGTTATTTAATGGTTTTTTTTATTAATTTAATTTGCAAAAAAGACTACTACAATTATTGTACTGGTTTTTCAAAAAAAAAAATAGTATAGGAATAACAGGTACAGGATTACAGGAACACAACCATAATTAATTTTGAGTTTTCAATAACATTGGATAATGGATATCCGAAATATCCGATCCGAATGATTTCGAATATTGGATATCCGAAATTTTCGGATCGGATTTGGATTTCAATTTCTGACATCCGATGAATCGGATATCCGATCCGAAATCACATTTAGGATCGGATATCCGATCCGTGAACAAGCCTAGTGAAAAGGTATGGAGGATCAGTATTAAAATATAATTACTTATTCTTAAAGACATAACGTAGTATATTAAATTCTCCACTCCACCTAGCAACCAACCTCACATCCTTCCCCTCTCCTTCACCTAATGTCATCCACCCTTGCCAAAAAAAAAAATCTCTCTTTTTCCATGAGGCCTATCAGACCTTCACCTGATCCCATACTAGTCTGCTGATCCAGCAGTGCCAGTAGCCAAGCAAGATCATTCAGAACTTCTTTCAGTCCCTCTCTACCAACCTCCCTTTTCCTTCCCCAATCTCTGTAGCAAGCTAAGTCAGGTTAGCAGGTGGTGATCTAACGGGATACATATACACTTGATTACTTAACCAAAATATACGACGATCTTGGTCCTATAGTCTATACTTCTATCCTTATTCCAACCCTGGACAAAATGGGGGCCGGTCACCTCAAGAGGTTCTACCATTACCATAAGTTCCAAATCAAAACGCCAAAACATTCTCAAGGAAGGTTACAGATACCCAGCATGAAACATCAATAGTGGCATTAAGGCTTCTCTAAGGCCAAATGACCATAATACTAGGAAGTATCCAGCAAGCTTCCTTATCACTTAAGCTTTAACCTAATCCTGGTAGGAAAGAGGTAGTAGTAAAATATACGAGTAGTTTGGATGGCCATTGCACATAAACTTTCTTGATGATCACAATTTCCATTTGGGAAATTAGAAGAGTCGAAGAAACTCTGCAAAATCACCTGTTCTTATGCTTTCACATTTTATTTTTATAAACCAAATGGAAAGTCAATGGGCAAAAGTAAACAATCAAGGTAGAAGCTTCAGCTTATGGAAATCCCACTATGTCCTCACGTTCTTTTCTATTATAGTATAGTTTCACTAAATTCCAATCCCTTGATTTTAAACTTTTTACCTCTTGGTCATGCACAATTGCCAAAAAGTAAATTATATTTTGGATGGCTATGTGAACAAACACTTTTCTTGAAGATAACATTTTCCATTAGGGAAACTAGGAAACTTCAAGAAACTCTACAGAAACTTGTTTAGATGACCACCAAGTACTTCAGTCTGATGGATCATTAAACTCCAGAAAAGAAGTTCTCTTTTAGTACTCCGTAAAAAGAATTAGCTGTAATACCTTTTTGTATTATTTTCTAATGACACACAAAATAAATTGGTATTTCTAGTTAACATTAATGATTTTCAGCTTAAGTTTTCCACAATTCTACTTTTCCTAATTTTTTATAAAACTTGTATTCTCACAATCCCCTGTTCCTGTGATTACATTTCTCATTTCTGTTAACCAAATAACTATATAAGCTCAATGAGCATAAGTAATTAATCAAGGTAGGAGCTTCAGCTCTTTGGGAATCCCACATTGTTCCTCAAACAAAATTTACTAGGAAGTACTTCGTATATTCTTTTCCGTATATTCTTTTCCTAAGAAAGAGCAATTTCACTCAATTCTCATCTCTTGATGTCAAACTCTAACTTCATGGTCTTGCATAACAGCTTCAATGCAGTATTAGAAGTTCAAACAGCAAAGCTGAATTCACATTAACATCTCTTGACCCTTTAATTCTATCAGAACTAATTAGCAAAACCAAAATCCCCTTAACAAAGTTACAAACTCCTTCACAATACTCATCCCCACACAATCAAGCTAGAAAACAAACTAATATAATTCAGGGAAGCTCAAAAACAGTATAAACAATCAATAAAAACAACAAAAGCACCCAAATTCTAAGAACAATAAAACAAAATACAAACTTAAAGCCCAGAAAAATACAGTGAAAATCTCACCTTTTCAGCAACAAGTCGATCCCCAACATCAAATGTAGGATACATAGACAAAGAAGGAATATATCTGGGCTCAGCAATAAACGACCGAAAAGCAAGCGAAATTGCAAGAGCAGCAAAAACAGTTTTCGCATCATCAGAAGTAAAATTCAACCACTCAGGCAACAACCCAGAGGAATCCCCCTTCTTTCCGTCATCTCCGTCACCATCTCCGCCTCCATCACCGCCGTCTCCTCCGCCACTTTTGGGTGGTACAATTGTTTTGATGTCATCTTGGGACTCTTTAAGACTCCTGCAAATTAGACTGTTCAAGGGTTTTAGAGGGTTGGAGGAGAGAGAATTGGGGGTTTTGAGGAAGGAATTGAATTGGATTTTGTGGGATTGAAGGGATTTTGAGATTGGATGAAGATTGAAGATGATGAAATTAGGGTTTTTGGTGGATTTGGGGAATTTGTTTGAGGTGGGGTTTGAATAAGAGATGGATGAGATTGAAGGGAGAAGGTGTAGAGATGTCATCTTGATGAATCCACGATTTGTGAATTTCAGCGGGTATGACCATTATTACTCGTTACTTTTGGTTATGATAAAACTAAATCAAGCACGGTTTAATTTCTTACTCTAGGCTATGTTCTTTTCATCTTATTTTTAGTTCACTTCAACTCCAATAAGTTTAGTTTGGTTCTTATCTTAATATCCTTCTCTTATAAAATATTCAATTTTGTTTATTTCTTGTCTTAATATCTTTTCTCATAAAATATTCAGTTGAGTTTAGCTCTAATAAGTTCAGTATAGTTCAGTCAATCAGAACAACCCCTTGTTATCCAAATAAGAGCAACATTTGTTTTACAAGTATTTTCAAGAAATATTATTATCATTTTGAGTAGGTAAGTAGTGAAACATTTATAAAATCACTATTAACTTCGTGAATGACTAATGAGATGAGAATTTGAAGAGTTTCAATATAATGGAGATTTCAAAAATAAGAGTTTGTTCAATGAAGATTTCATATTCACAAAAGCTTCTTCAAAGGAGGAACATAACAAACCCCCCCCCCCCTTGGAGTTGACATGTCCTTTATTTCCCTTTTTCTAGGTTTTTGTTAAATTCGTCAATAAAGTTGTCAAAAGTGGTGTTAGACATGCCAATGGAGACGAAAGATATCGAAAATGGTGGTGTTGATGGAAGATGGGTGAGGATAAAGAAAATTAGGTGGACAAAAGTTAGATATCTAAGTTTGCTTTGGCTAAACGAATAATGAACATTTTGAGATTTTAAAAGAAAATGTTTAATGATTAGGAAATCAACACAAGTAACATAGTCACACATAGGTGGATATTTTTCCCCACCCCAAAATGTGTCTCCTAGACCCTATAATTTGTAGATGCAAATACATTTTCAGCATATCAATGTAGTTTATCTTTACAATTTTGAGAAGTGATGTACGACCATCTCGTGGATCAAATCCCATTAGAGACATTTCAGGATGGAGATTCTCTTACCTTTCCATCTCACTCTGAATAGTCTAACCTCCTAACCCATATTATATTGGATGGACTTGTTAGAAGTTTTGGCCCATTAATTAGAGCCTTTTCCTTACCTAAAAAAACAAAGTGAATGTACATTTTGACACTAATTTTTAAAGATAAACTAATTTGTGGTCCAAGCGATGCTCTAGATTAAAAATTGAAAAAATGTATGTGGTAGAAAGAGAGACTTAGTATACTATTATGTTGTATCCTTTACAATTTTACTCCTTTTTTTTTTTCCTAATTAAGTGCATCACTTGAGTTTTCACACTACTTGTCGTGTCTCAAATTTGACCATTAATATCTTAATTAGATATTAGTAAAAATTATATTATGAAAGTAGACATTGTAACGAACTTAACTATATATTTATAGATCACTTTTTTAATTTTATAGCGATAAAAAAATTAAGTCAAAGGTAACATATGAATAGTGCAAATTCTTAAGTAATGCATTAAAAAAAAGGACGATAATGGTAATAAAAGTTGAAAATTTCAAAGGATGTAAAGGTTAAATATGATCCAAATATATATGTGTGGTCATGTCATTATTCATATGATGCCATGTCATAAATCTCATTATGACATAAGAGTGATGCAAGTTATCAATATGTTATCCCTTTGATTTTTAATAATATTATAGATTATAGATTTTGAATACGAGTAGGTTGTTGTATTGAGTAGTTAGAGTAAATTGACAGCCAATTATAGACAAGTTTTCTTCTTCATCATAAGTTCATGACACGCGCGATGTATTTAATTTTCACAATTAATAGATTTTAATTGATTCAATAGAATTTAATTTTATTAGTTGGGGGTTTGATAGATTTTCAAGATATTAAAATCTTAAAACTAACTCCTTTAAGAAAAATGATATACATAGCCCTTAAGGCTACATATAAGCATTAGATACACGCTAGAAAATCATATAAATTTAGGAAATTATAAAAATATAAACACTAATTACACTGATTTATACATGTTTTTGTCATGAATTTTTAATTTTATACAATTTTCAAGAGTTCTCTACCAAGTGTTGCCTTGTTTTTATGCTAGTTTGTTGTTAGACCTTATAGATATTGTGTCTTACTTGCATATTAGCTCCCCTCCAAATCAACTTGATGCACTAAGAACTCGTGGTTCGGACCCGCTTGTGCCTGCCTTGAAGTATCGGTCGTCACAAGCCCCATCCACCCGCACTCCGTCGCCCAAATAGACGAGAGTGCCCCTGTGATTAGAGCTGTCAATTCGGGTAAACAGGTCGGGTTTTGGTCGAGTAAGAGTGGGTCGAGTCAACTCGGGTCGGTTCAATTCAGATTAATTCCATAACCTATGCGGGACGGGTTTGGGTTTGGTCATGCTTGAGTCGGGTCATACTTCTTATCAGGTTTGGGTCGGGTTAAGGTCAGGTTAATAATCGGTCGAGTTACATTCGGGTCGGGTGAACAATAGGTCGGGTTTAATTCGAGTTTTCACGGGTTAAAACGGGATAAGATAATTCTCGGGATTGGGTCAGATTCGGTTTAAGTAAAAAATTTGCGAGTTAGATACAGGTCGGGTCATTCTCAGGTTTGAGTCGGGTTCAGTTCAAGTTAATAATTTGCGGTTATAATCAGGTCGGGTCATTCAATTCTCGGGTTCAAGTCGGGTTCGGTTCAAGTCAATAATTTACGGGTTATAATCAGATTGGGTCATTTTCAAGTCGGGTCATTCTCGAATTCAAGTTGGGTTATGTTCAAGTCAATAATTTGCAGCTTACAATCAGGTCGGGTCATTTCCATGTCAGGTCATATTCGGTTCAACTAACTATAAATAGATAATTTTCATTTTTATCAAGCTAATTATTTCCTTTGACTATAATATATATGACAATATACTGGAGAACTATAGTCTATAATTTAGGAAGATAATTATCTCCTTTGACCATACAACAAATATATACTATATTTAACTCTTAAATTTAAGGATGATGCTCCTTTCTTTTGCTGGCCTGGACAGACTTGGTCTCCCTAGACGAAATACTTTGATCAACAATAATAAGTTGGTCTATATTGCATTTAAGGTGATTTGAAATTGGTTCAAGAATAATTTGGTTTGAATTTAGGTCGGGTCAATAACAAGTCGTGTTAATTTCGAGTCGAGTTAGTAACAGATCGGGTTGAATTTTTGGGTCGGGTAAGAAATAGGCCTGGTAAAATTCGGGTCATGCCAATAACAAGTCGGGTTGATTTCGGGTTGGGTTTGTAACAGGTTAAATTTGGGTCGGTTTAGGAACGGGTCGGGTTGAATTCAGGTTAGGTTAGTAACAAGTCGGGTTAAATTTGGGTTTTGACGAGTTAAAACAGTTTAAAGTCAATTTTGGTGCAAGTTAATTAAATTGGCCGTTGTAAACCGGTAAATCCTTGCAAGTTGTAAACCGGTAAATTGGTCGTTTAAACGTAAATTGCATGGTTCCACCCACCCAATTGGACTCCCGGAGGGTATTAGGGAACATGATCAACATTTCGACAATTTTTCTTCCAGGTGAAAAAATTCAAAAATTGAAGGCTTATATCCACTCTTTTTCAGAAAATTTTGGAGGTTTCGAGGCCCGGTGTCGAAAAACCTTGAGATTTTAGAGAATATATCTCGGGGGTAATATAATGACGTTTGGAACCATACATGATCATTATATGTTGTCATAAATGTTCGTGGTAGGTTTGAGTTAATGAAATTGGAGCAAGTTATAAACCGGTAAATTGGTCGTTTTAAGGCAAATTGGATGGTTCCACCCACCCAATTGGAATCCCGAAAGGTATTAGGGACCATGGTAAACATTTCGGTAATTTTTATTTTTGGACGAAAAAAAGTTAAAAAGTTCCAAAATTGAAGTCTAGTATCCACGCTTTTTGAGAAATTTCGAAAGTTTCGGGGCTCGGTGTTGAAAAGTTTTGAAATTTTAGGGAATATATTTCCGGGTCATATAATGTCGTTTGGAACCATACATGATGATCATTATTTGTTGTCATAAATGTTCATTGTAGACTTGAGTTAATGAAATTGGTGCAAGTTGAAAACCGGTAACTCGGTTGTTTAAAGGCAAATTGGATGGTTGAACCTAGCCAGGTGGACTCCTGGAGGATATTAGGGACCATGGTAAACCTTTTAGCAATTTTTATTTTCTGGCAAAAACAAGTCAAAAAATTCCAAAATTGAAGACTAATATCCACGTTTTTTGAGAAATTTTGGATGTTTCGGAGCGCGGTGTTGAAAAGTCTTGAAATTTTAGGGAATCCATCTATGGGTCATATAATGTCATTTGGAACCATATATGATCATTATTTGTGGTCATAAGTGTTCGTGGTAGGCTTGAGTTAATGAAATCAGTGCAAGTTCTAAACCGGTAAATTGGTCATTTAATGGCAAATTGGATAGTTCAACCCACCCAATTGGACACCCGGAGGATATTAGGGACCATGGTAAACATTTCGGCAATTTTTATTTCCGGGCGAAAAAAGTCTAAAAATTCAAAAATTGAAGGCTAATATTCACGATTTTTGAGAAATTTTGGAGGTTTTGGGGCCCGGTGTCGAAAAGCCTTAAGATTTTAGGAGATACATCTTGGGGTCATATAATGTCGTTTGTAACCAAATATGAATATTATATGTTGTCTTAAGTGTTCGTGGTAGGCTTGAGTTGATGAAATCGGTGCAAGTTGTAAACTGGTAAATTGGCCGTTTTAAGATGAATTGGATTGCTCCACCCACCCAGTTGGACTCCCAAAGGGTATAAGGGACCAAGGTTAATATTTCGACAATTTTTATTTCCGCGCAAAAAAAGTCTAAAAATTCAAAATTTGAAGGGTAATATCCACGATTTTTGAGAAATTTCGAACGTTTTGGAGCACGGTGTCGAAAAGACTTGAGATATTAGGAGATACATCTTGGGGTCATGTAATTTAGTTTGGAGCAATATGTGATCATTATATGTTGTCGTAAATGTTGGTGGTAGGCTTGACCATATGAAATCAGTGCAAGTTGTAAATCAGTAAATTGGCCAAAAG